GTGTAAACATATACTTCTCTAAGATTGACTTAATTCACTAAAATTATTATCTCTAATAGTATCCATTTTCCTGCAAATAATGTGACTTCATTCTTCTGTTTGATAGCTCTGGTTTTTAGGAGACCTCTTGAGCAGATCAAGAAAAAGGCTTTCTGTCACCTGCCAGCTCTGTGTGGTCAGTCTATGACACAAGGCCTTTCTAGAGTTGACCCTCAGCTCAGGTGTCATGTGAGGGATACCCTAGGGAAATGATGGGGCTCCTTCTGGCCTGAGCTTACAGAATTGGGCCTGAGCAGATCAGGGTAGTGGAAATGCCAGACCTCCTGTCCTGTAGGGGTAACTCCAGCCTAGCTTTAAAAAATTTGCTTTTGGGTTAAGAGTACTCACTGTTTTTCCAGAGGACTCTGGTTCAATTCCCAGCACCTATATGACAGCTCACAACTGTCTGTAACTCCAGTTCCAGGAGATCCAACACCCACACACAGACATGCATGCTGGCAAAACACCAATGAACATAAAATAAAAATACATAAATTATAAGAAAAGGCCAGACAGTGAGCAGGTGGATCTCTGTAAGTTTGAGGTAGCCTAGTCTACAGAGCTAGTTCCAGGACAGCCAAGGCTACACAAAGAAACCCTGTCTTGAAAAAACAAAATAAAAAGATTTACTTATTTATATTTTTATTTTTTGGTTTTTCGAGACAGTTTCTTTGTGGCTTTGGAGGATGTCCTGGAACTAGCTCATGTAGACCAGGCTGGTCTCGAACTCACAGAGATCTGCCTGCCTCTGCCTCCCAAGTGCTGGGATTAAAGGCGTGCGCCACCACCTCCCGGCTATATTTTAATTTTTTAAAAAATTATTTTGTGTGTGTGGATGTTTTGCCTGCTTGTATGTCTGGTACCACATGCACACCTGATGCTCACAGAGGCCAGAGACAGCACTAGACAGCACTAACTGGAACCAGAGTTAAAGACAGTTGTGAATCGCCATGTGGGTGCTAAGAGTTAAACACTGGTTCTCTGGAAGAGCAGCCAGTGCTCATAACTGCTCAGCCATATCTCTAGCCCCTATGTATGAGTGTTGTGTGTGTGTGTGTGTGTGTGTGTGTGTGTGTGTGTGTGTCTGCTCACAGATGTAATAAGAAAAGAGATCCAAAACTCCTGGAACTAGAATTATGAACAGTTATGAGCTACTATGTGGGTACCAGGAACCAATCTTGGGTCCACTGTAAGAGTAGTAAGTGCTCTTAACTGCTGAGCCATCTCTCTAGCCTGCCCCCAACATAGCTTTTGTTGGTACTGACCTGACAGTGTGTCTAGCTGTAGTCAGTTCCTCGTTGAACTTTGGGTTTAGTGGGATGTCAGAGATCCATATACATCTGAGCTAGAAAGGACCAGTGCCACAGTGTCAGCTGTGTGGGGTTGAACCTTGTTCTGAGTTATCACTCTAGGCACTAACATGGAGACTGAGGGTCCCACTGTAGATTTGATCTGAGACTGGGAGTTCCTTCCCAATCTCTGAGCAGTTGGTCCTCTGGCCCTGTCCATTAATCACAGTATCACAGTGGACTCATTAGGCTCTGGGCCAGGAAGGCCTGAGAACCTTCTTATTACTGGAAACATGTAGGGCATCCTCTGTCCCTGGTAGGTAGGTTTTCACACAAGGTTCCATCAGCATCCCTGACCCGTTCATCTGAGGCCTTGTGTTATATACTGTACCCCTCCATTTCAAAATGTGTAAATAATATATTCACAAAATTGTATGACTCCCTCTAATTCCAAAACATCTCATTACTCCCCAAAGAAGCCTTCTACTCCTTACTGGTCATGCCTCAATCTCCCCAGTTCCTGTTGACCTCTACTCTGGGTCATGTCCATGAAGATTTGCCTGTTGTGTTACATGAACATGGAATAATTCACTATGTGTCTGAGGCTTTTCTTAGCTTAGGGAAATGCCTAGTCCTTAATTCTCCTTCCTTGAAGTGGGTGTTGTGTCTCTGAGCTGGCCCCAACCCCTGGACTCAGGTGATCTCCCTGACTATAGGCATTCTAGATTCTTCTATCTTAAATATTTACTGTACCTTGCTGTAGACTTCAAGTGATGCCCATGACCAGCTCTCCATGCCATCCTCTCACAAAGGTCCTTTTACCCTGTCACTGCATGTTTCCTGTCATCCTCTTGCTTATGCCTGATCTCAGAAAGGTGTGTGTAATCCTTGCTGTTCTGTTGTGCCTCGAAGCCTGGCCCTCAGATGGAGCTTGTCCTTTACATGATGTTCCTCAGGAGTCACATAAGCCCTAGAGGGCTCCAAGCCCAGGCCTTAGTTTCTGCTGTGCTTGGGGATTGAAGTTTCAGTCTGAGTGTCTGTCCTGCACCCCACTCACGCCATTTGCAGATTGACTTCTTTTTTTGTTTGTTTTTTTGAGACAGGGTTTCTCTGTGCAACAGTCCTGGTTGTTCTGGAACTCTCTCTGTAGACCAGGCTGGCCTCGAACTCACAGAGGTCTGCCTCTCAAGTGCTGGGATTAAAGGCATGCGGCACCACCTCCTGGCACAGACTGACTTCTGTGACAAATTTATCATGGGTGAGCCTACAGAGGAGGCATGCACAGGAGGGATGCCCTTGGCTATTGCTCCCTTCCTTGACAAGCTGGCAGCTACACCTGGTTCCCAGAGAAGTCACACTTGACTTTTCCTCACACCTTCACCTGACTCTCAATTCTTTGTCCTCAGAGGCTGCTTAGAGGAGCAGTTCCTGGGGTTCATGCTGAAAGGAGGCATAGGTCCTTCTGTTCTAGTCACATCTGCTTCTGTGGGGACCAGCACCCACATACATACATACACACATACACTAGCTGAGAAGGAGGGACACAGCTTTCTAAGTATACTTGCTGAGACTCAGGAGGCTGCAGGTCTTGTGAGGGTGACCACAAACGTCTCCATGAGTAGCAGTGTATGTGGCCACAGACCCAAAGGACCCCCATCCCTATGGGCCTCTGCCCCATGCCCTGCACATCTCAGGTTCTTCCAGAGAGTATCTCAGCTGACATTGGGTGGAAAGCCACAAACCATGTTAAGTGCCTTCATTGGCATTTGAGTCAGATGACCAAGTACTATTTGGTGATCCTCTTCAGGGAGCTGATCTCCACAAACCCCTTACTATTTCCTGGGCGCTGTCCCTCCTGAATAGTCACCTGCCTTTGATAAGTTTCAGAAGGGACCAGTGAAGACCAGAAAGACGTGGTGCTGCATAGAGAACAACCTAAGCAGAGTGTGTTAACAAAGCTAGTGTGGGAATGCAGGCCTGTGATCTTAGCACTCAGCAGGAGGGCTGTGAGGTGGACTCTAGCCTGGGCAACAGAATGAGACTATCTCCAGCAATAAGTGCAGAACCATAGAGCCATAATGCAGGGTGGCTCTTGCCACACTGTGTAGGGAAGATTGGAGCCACTCAGGTTACTGCCATGGACATGAAGGGGTTTCCTCAGTATCCCGCAGCAGCTGAGCGATGGGTGCCATTGCCCCGCCTTTCTCAGGACTACCCTTGCCTTCATTAACTGTGGTTTTATACCCCTGAAGAACCAGCTCAGCTCAAAGTTGGGGTGTTGTCTGAGGGGAAGAGAGAACAACAGTGTGCTGGGGAGGTGGAACTGTGACCACAAGCTTGCAAGGCTGAGAGGTGGCTGTGAGCCAGGCTGTCTAGTTAGGGCTATTTGTTCCCTCTTCACCCTACCTCGTTCCTTATGTCTTATTCGGTGTCTAGGAGGCCCTAATACCTGCGCAGTAGCTCCCATTCAATGTGCCATGAGGCCAAGGCCATTCTCCAGGGATACTTTCTGGAGCACTGCTGGGCAAGATGACAGCTGTTCAAGTCTCCATGATACCTTGGTGCTGCTGGGGCTCTGTCCTGCCCAGCACTTTAGCCTCCTTTTGTCAGGAGCCTAAGACCACTATAAGCTCAGATCTAGAAGGCAGCTTCTCTGCTACTCCATCACCCTCTTAACCCCCACATACTAGAGGCTTCCATGCCTCAGAGACCAGTATGCTGGAGCCTCTGCTGCTCACTTTGCCTTCTCTCAGAGTGCAGGCCCTCCCACTTCAGGCTACAACTGCATGTACACTGTGACCACTCTCACCGACAGGTCTTAATTGTGCCTGCTGAACCAGGGAGAACTCTACCTACAAACTCCCAACTGCAGACAGAGGAGAATCTCCTAACATGCTTGTGGCCATGGCTTGTAGGGTAGGGACATCTATTAACATGCTTGTGGCCATGGCCTATAGGGTAGGGACATCTATTAACATGCTTGTGGCCATGGCCTATAGGGTAGGGACATCTATTAACATGCTTGTGGCCATGGCCTATAGGGTAGGGACATCTATTAACATGCTTGTGGCCATGGCCTATAGGGTAGAGACACTGCTCTGGTCTCAGGTGTACAGCATGTGATGGATGGACTGTGTGCCCTCCTTGCATTGTTGGTCCTCCTGGCCACAGCAGTTAAGAGCAAGCCCTTCGGGAAGGGCAGCAGTACTGCAGCTCTGGAAATGAGGCAGCAGTGTCCACCCAGGAAAGTAAAGCCTGGGAGACTTAACTTATGAAAGCCAGTGTTTCCACCCACTGTCCTGGAGAAAGCCCTGTTCTGTAATCCTTAACCCATAGCCTGGTGAAGCACTTGAAGTCTAGACACTGGATAGCTTATTATCTGGGCCCTGACAGAACAGAGCAGAGCATTAGGTGGTCAGTGCTGACTTCTAGGAGGCTCACAAAAAGTGCTGTTTTGTAGTGCAGGATGTGTGTGCGGTGGGACTTTGAGGCTTGAGCACCCAAGCTTACTGGCTGAAAATAAAACTGAGTGCTGCTGGCTATCTGTGAACCTTTTTAGGGATAATGTATCCCTGTCCCTTTCTGTGTTAGCCACAGCCACATAGAAGCAGGGGGTTGGGGGTGGACTAGGGCATGTGTCTAGTTCTCACACCTGTAACCTGATCTCTCCAGGTATATACAGACGCTGAAGGACCACAGGCCCCGAGTGGTGTGGGACAGCCAGGCTGCGGAGCACTTCTTGGAGTACAAGAAGTGAGTGACTTGTGGCCCACCATTTGTAGGCAGGAAGCCTTGTGGGGAGGACATTGATGAGGGAGCAGTTGGGGGTGGGGAACAGTGAGGGCCAGGACTGGTGGACCTTAACCCTGGTGGTAGGATAGTGTAGCCCTTAGGCCTAGCCAGAGGCAAGATACATGGTCCCATTTCTCCTGCAGGAATCGCGGAGGGAGGCATGTTGTCTTCTACCCTACTCTGAAGGTATGTGCCATGTGCTTTGTCTGTCAACCATAATGCTATGGTGGGGGTGACAGTTCGGGCCAGATGATACCAATGGTACCATTATTCCATAATTTGCTATCTGCATTGGAGGTCTGTCCTGTGGTCTTGAGTCCAGGCCACACACTGTTTAGGATCCCCCATGTTTAGGCTAATTCTCAGTACATTGTGGGGGTAATGAGAAAGTGGGTGGAACAGGTGCCTACACCTCTGTCTGCCCACAGTCTCTGCAGGTGCGGCTGGAGCTAGCCAGGGAGCTGGGCGTCGGGGTCTCCATCTGGGAGCTGGGCCAAGGCCTGGATTACTTCTATGACCTGCTGTAGGCTGGACAGCAACGCCCAAGTGACTATGGACTTTTCTAAGCCATTGGAGTGACTGGTGAAATATAGGCCTCTTTTCTGTTTTCTGTGAGACATCTGCTATGGTCCTCAGCAGGGCCCACATACATGGGTGTTTCCTGGCCTGGGCTAAGAATTGGGGCCCCTCCTACTCACTACTCATTGCTGCTACCTGTGGGCCATGTGAAAACACAGTTCCCGTCCCCTAGGACAGTCTGGCTCAGGGCTCTTGAGTGCTTTTCAAGACCTGAGTTAGGTGTGGGTTTGGAAGATGTAAACAGTCAGACTCTTCTAGTCCTAGCAAAAGCAGCCTTTCCTAGTGTCACCCTAAAACCTGACAAGGGAAGTACAGAGGGCTCTGCCCTCACACTACAGTCACCTGCCTGCCGCAGACACAGGTGTGTGTTCAAGCTGCTTGATAACTGCAGCGGGTTTTACAACTATCCCCACGGAGCTTCATGTGACCAGGATGTGGGACCATGTTGGAAACTGGACCATAACCTAGACTGTGTTCACCAGATGACAGAGAGATAGGGCATGCCTATGGGGCAACAGCAGGACTGTGGACTGAGTAGGACAGGTATCATGAGACCAGAGAAGTCTGTCTACCCTGATGAACAGCAACAGGCTGGGGAAAATGTCTACGAATTCTGAGGCACCAACAGGTAAAGAGTAGCTGACCCTTATTATCTCACTCCTTCATTCCAAGTTCCTTCATCCCTCACTTGTGCCTGGGCTTCTGCCCACTCCTCATCCCCTGCTGGGTATGATCTTAAGATGGTGTGATTCCTGGTCTTACAGACCCTTGGGTGGAGCCTTCTAATCCATTAGCGAAGGCCCAAGCCATAGAGGCCAGAAACCCTGATCAGGACTCTGCCCTGTCAATTTCTGATATGTAGCTCAAGATCCTGAGGGTTAGGATTGGAAGATGTTAAGGCAACAGGCCCAGTCCCAACTCATAAAAGACATGGCTGGTAGGGATGGTAGGAGTTTGGATACTGGCTGGCACTGTGGAGCCATGGTCCTGTACTGGCTGGCCAGTGACTGAGCCTGGGTCTCTCCAGCCTTGACTCTGAGTGTCTAGTGGATGGGAGTACTCTGAATATAAGGAGTGAGTGACAGCCGGGCATGGTGGTGCACACCTTTAATCCCACTACTCGGGAAGCAGACACAGGCAGATCTCTGTGAGTTTGAGGATAGCCTGGGCTGTTACAGAGAAACCCTGTCTTGAAAAAAAAAAAAAAAAAAAAAAA